ATCTGTAAAATATATGACCACATCTCTAGGTAATTGTCTTTGTCTGGCCACCCAAGAGTTCACTCTGTAAATTTTGTCTATTTTATGAAAAACCACATCAGGATTAACTTGTAGAATCTTGGCCAAGGCCTCAGAACAAACTTGTCTCAAATCCTGTCTTTCCTCCTCTCGAATTCCCCGAAGCCGTATAGCGAACTCCATTGCCCTGAATTGTATCATAACAATCTCGTCTTCAACTCTCTGCATTTTATTGTCAACATCAGCAATTTTATAGTCATTGTCTTTCATCTTAACATTAACTTCTGATTTAAATTCTTCAACTTTAAAATCAACTTTCCCAATAAATTCTGCCAGGCCAGATGCCACTTCTGATATTTTTTTGGTCACCTTATTTTGATTCTGTTTCACCATATCTTTAACTTCATTAATTTCCTGCATAAATTCCTGGTGTGATTTTTGAAGTTTATCATCTATCCCCTGATGTGATTTTTGAAGTTTATCATCTATCTCCTGTTGAGATTTTTGAAATTTATCATCCAAAGTTTTAGAAATAAATTCTTTTAAATCTCCCACATCAAATTCTTTTTTCTGAGTCTGTAACTGCTGAGCAGGGGGAAGTTGCGTTTCATGTTTATGTGTGGGGGATCCCCCCCCTGTTGCCTTCCCTTCCTGCTTCTTTGAGGCCATCCTGCCACGTGATCTAGTTTTTCTAAAGAGGGAAGTTCCTTTTCCTTTCCCTCCTGCACAAAGACTTCTAAAAAAAGTCCCCCAGATTTGATCAAATAAAGGTTGAAATAAAGCAAAGTCAAATATTGAAAGGGAGAAATTTTCCAATTGTTTCTCTTATAACAAGCAAGGCAACTTTGTAGCAACTTGGAAACTTTGTAACAAAGCAAAATAACTTCACCAATCCACACTCGCTGGCTCGTTAACTCTGAGGCTAAGTGCCATGTTTTTTCAAAGCACTTTCACTCATTCACGTTTTCTCAGATTGAAAAGTCAACAAAGCGCTAATACTTGCGTTTCCAAGATTCAGGATTCAGGTAGTTTCACTATTGATTAAAGCTGGTTCTTTCGCTTTAAGTTTCCTGCAGCCGGCTTGTTCTGCAGAGGCAGAATCGTCCCACGTCGCCCAGAGTTTCAGCAGGTTGGGAGGGAGCCACGCCTGTTCTCTCCCCAGAAACTTCCCTGGGGGGTTACAGGGGCTCGACCTGTGCCCTGCGATCTCTCCTTCTTCAATCCTGTGGATTTAGAAGTTTTCGAGCCGCTTCTTCGTCTCGAAGCGGCTCTACAGGCGGCGGGGCTGGCGGAGCTTCAAAAGGCACCGCCTTCGCCGAAGACAAGGAAACCGGAAGTCAGCATGGGCCAGATTCTTGCCTGGCACATACAGGAGCATGTAGTCGTAGGTGGATAAAAACACAGACCACCTGGTGAATCTCAGGGATAGGAATTGTGGAGTTTGACGGTCAGCTGCTAGTAGACCAAGCAGAGACTTATGATCTGTCACTAGTGTAAAAGGTCGACCATATAGGTAATGATGAAACCGCTTGACTCCAGCTACTAATGCTAGAGCCTCCTTGTCTAGCTGTGAATAATTTCGCTCCACTAAAGCCAAAGTCTAGGAGAAAAATGCAACGGGGGCTTCACAGCCATCAGGGAAACAGTGACTTAAGACCACTCCCACCCCATAAGGAGAAGCATCACATGCTAGCACGAGGGGTAGGGACTCGCAGTAGTGAGCGAGGACAGAGTTCGAAACGAGTATACGTTTGACATTAGTAAATGCAGTGGCTGCAGTTGATTCCCATTTCCAATGTTCCCCCGGTTCAGCAAACGATGCAAAGGTTCCGCAATAGATGCCTTGTGTGGTATGAAAATTGCATAAAAGTTTAAAAGGCCTAAGAAGGCTTGAAGTTCGGCGTTGTTGGTGGGAGCAGGGGCATGTAAAATAGCGTTCGTCTTAGACTCTGTAGGGTGTATACCCTTACCATCAATTAGGAAACCCAAGAACTCGATTTTGGAAGCAGCTACAATACATTTGCTTTGCTTAACTTTGAGCCCCACTCTCTGGAATATGGTAAGAACCGATCTGAGTCTTTTAAGGAGGTTGGTGGTGCTGGTGGCCGATACTAATACGTCATCAAAGTACGGTACAACCCCAGGAATTCCATTAAGTAAACGCTCCATCATGCTCTGGAAGATTCCCAGGGTGACTGAAACCCCAAATTGGAGGTGGTGGCAACGGAAAGCACTCCGGTGTGTCACTATAGTTTGTGCGTCCGCTGTTTGGTCATCCACAGGCAGTTGTTGATATGCCTGTGCTAAGTCTAATTTAGCAAATACGGAGCCACTACCCAAGGAGTGTGTTCTGTCCCCGTACCACGCACACACACCCACAGACGGCACGGAGTTAATAAACCACACTACAAAACTCTTTGATGATAAAGCTGGCAGCAATCCAGTGGCTAGCTGCCAATGCAGACTTTACTCACGCAAAACAAAGATTAACCCAAATGCAGTCCGATAAAGCAGGCAAAGTCCAGTAACGCAGAAATCATGGGTTAGTTCTAGTTTTTGCTTGTCACAAACTGAACCGGCCACCACACCCACATTTATATCCTGTGGGGTGTGGTCCAATGACTCAGCTAATCTCTGCCACGCCTTCCCCTCTGCTGTGCATGCTTCTCCCTGCGCCTCTGGCGAGGGTCCAGCCAGCACTTATCTTCCTCGTCGCTGTCCACTTTTGGCTGCGGGGACGTGCTTGGCTCTGAGCCTCTCGTTTGGCCTTCGGTGTCCTCTGGAGGCATTGCCAGAGAGGAGGGTCCTGGAGAGGGAGGCCTTGCCAACTCTTCCCCCTCACTCTCAGAGTCTGCATCTGTCGATAGCCCAGGCTCAGGCAATGGAGCCACAATAGAGTGCAACAAATGTTGCACAATAGGAACGGGGTATGCATGCGCCTGTAATGCACGATTAATTGTTGCTCGGTAATCTGCGCAGATGCGCACTGAACCATCCGCCTTCATGGCAATAAAATGGGGGTCTCCCATGGTGCGTACTCAACAGGCTCCAGGATACGTTGTGTTATTAATTTGTCAAGTTCAGCATCCACCTTTGGTCGCAATGCAAACGGTACTCTTCGCGGCTTAAGGTGGCGAGGCTGCACTTGAGGGTCGAGACTGAATGAAACCGGTCGTCCGGTGTATTTTCCTAATTCCTCAGAGAAAACTGAGGGGAATTCATTACATAACATGTCCAGTTCAGATGATGAGATGGCATTAACCCCTTGTATAGTTAGACCTAATGCATCGAACCAATTAAGGCCCAACAGGCTGGGGAATTTTCCTTCCACAATGACTAGTGATAGTAATCCACTAAACTTCTTAAATTGTACTCGGAATGTGCCACTTCCGACAATCGGAATGTTGGCTCCTTGGCAATCTTTTAGCAGGAGATGGCAGGGGTCTAGTTGTCGTTTAGCCAGTTTCGGAACTAGTCGTTTAATTGTACTCCATGACACCAAGGATGTAGGGGAGCCAGAATCAACTTCCATGGTGCACAGTTTCCATTCGATGAATACTGTAAGACGAATCTTCTGCTGGCTCAACATATTTGGTGGTGTTACTAAATTCACATCAGAAGAAGATCATTGGTTACTATTACGAACTTTAGATGGATTAGGACGATATTGTAGGCCCCCATCCAACGGCACACGTGATTCGAACTGTGGCTGAGGGGATCTGGATACTCTGCCAAGATGACCTTTCCGGCCACAGCGGCGGCACTCTGCGTTTTTAAAACGGCAATTAGCGCGTAGGTGATTTCCTCTGCAGCTGAAACATGCATTCGGTCCCCTTGACATGCTAGTTGGGCCAGAGTTTTGTTTTCTAGACTCTTGAAGACGGCACACTTCAAAGTCACCATCAGAATCTGACAAATGTAAAGAGGAGCACTAAGAGCAGAGCAAGGATGGCCTCAAATCAGGAGTGACCCGTTGCCTTGGCCAAGTGGGGAAGGGCTTGCTGGGAGAGACCATGGGGTGGGGGGTGGGGAGGAAGGGAATTTCCTGACAAACACCTGAGCACAAACACCTGGGCAGGTGGTGCCATCTGCTGGCAGAATGAAGGCCCTACATGGATTTCCATTTGGGGCCCAAAATAAGTAAAAATATGATTTATATCACCAGGATTTTATAGATTTATTATATCTCCATCTTCAGGTACTGGAATAGCTCTTCTCTTCACAACAGCCCTATGGGGGAGGCTGGGCTGAGAAAAAAGGCTTATCTGAGGTCAGTCCAGATGGCTGGCCAGGTTTCATCCCAACGGTTGGCCTCACAATTACACCTGGCTTTGTTCACACAACACCCTTCCTTCCTTCCTTCCTTCCTTCCTTCCTTCCTTCCTTCCTTCCTTCCTTCCCTCCCTCCCTCCCTCCCTCCCTCCCTCCCTCCTTCCTTCCTTCCTTCCTTCCTTCCTTCCTTCCTTCCTTCCTTCCTTCCTCTCTCTCTCCCCCCTCCATTCATTCCTTCTGTACTACTCCTACCTTTCCTCTTGTACTCTTCCCTCCCTCCCTCTCCCTGTTCAGGAGATGAAGTTACTGGTGACTTAGGAACATATAACGTATTTTTAAAACAGACAAATATCTGCATGCATGAGTAGCCTTCATATATCTAAAATTCTGCTTTCTTTTCCTCTTTTTCCCACCTGCAGCTTCTCTTTTATTTCTGTTCTGCTTAACAAAGGACAGAAAATCTGCCTGCTTTGCCTCATTGTCTCTCATTGTCTACCACTACCACTGAGTAAACGCTTTGTAGGGACTGAGTGTCAGGGATTTCAGCCTCTGAGACGTGCTTCCCTGGGCATTCTCTCTGGGAAGCCACATTGGGGAAGGATGTGCTGCCTCTCAGCCCCTCTTCCTCTGACAAGTGGGGTGGGGGACACAGGTCAACGCAGGGAGGGGAAACCCCCAAAGGAGCCAAAGAAGACACCTGAGACCAAGAGGGCAGCTGGAACCAAAGCTTTATTGCAGAGAAGAAGGAATGAACCCAGGGTGGGGTTTAGGGGGAGGGTCTCCAGGGTGGTCCAGGACAGAAGAAGGCTCTTTGGGTCAAGTTCGAACAGTAGTTCCAATTCTGGTGGGTCTCCTTGTTGGTGATGCTGTAAAAACAAACATTCAGATGTGAGGTTTCTGCCCGTGATTGTATCCAGCGCTTCACCATATCTAATCTTACGACCATGGAGGGCCAAAGCTGAAATCAGGAGGAATGTCCTGACTGGGAGAGCGAGGAATCCTGGAGTTATGGGGCTCCATCACTGACGGTTTCAGGCAGAATAAAGACTAACAAAGTTGGACCGGGAACTTGGAGGCCTTCCAGGCCAACTCCTTGCTCAAGCAGGAGACCTTGTTCCGTTCTGGAAAAAGGGTTGTCCCATCTCTTCTTAAAAGCCTCCAGTGATGGAGCAGCTACAACTCCAGGAGCAAAGACATTCCATTGGAAAGTTTCTCCTTAGTTCTAGGTTGCTTTTTTCTTTGTTCAGTTTCCATCTTCTCCAACTCAGTGCCCAGCAGTTGTGTGTGTGTGTGTGTGTGTGTGTGTGACCAATGGTGATTCAGGAGGAGAAGAGAAGAGGAGGAGGAGGAGAAGTCAGGAGACAGTGGGAGGACGACATAGAGGGTGAGACTCATCCCTCTGGCTGGGGGATTCTGGGAGTTGAAGTCCTCCCATCTTCAAGCTACCAAGGTTAAGAAACACTGGCTTAGAGAATGCTCTGGAACTGGAATCCCAGATCAAGAATGATCCCATCTCTAGATCATTTAGAACTCAAAACATCTCCATACATCTAGGAGATGTCAACTGGAGCTGGATCCCACCTCCCCATCTCTTTTCCCATGAAGCAGAGCAGTTTCCCTCTGGGGTCAATGTCTCAGGACCCTGGGGGGAGGGACACTATAAATCTCTCCCCCCCCCCAAGTTGGGATCCTTTGGGGGGACATGTACATTGCACAACCCCGGTTTCCATCAAAGAGGAAGGAGGAATTTCAGAGAATGGGAGGTAGAGACTTTCTGTGCTGGTTCTACACACCCCCACAGCCCCCTCCTCAAATACAGAGGGAGTAAGATAGGACCCTCCCCCAAGCAGAGGCTGGACAACCAGAGAAGTCTTCTTTCCTTGGACCTCCTGGAAGTTGCCTGAAGTTTTTAGGCTAAATGGGGAAATTGAAGTTTTTAGCTGGCTGTCTCACCATATTGATCTAGGCTCATTCAGAATTGCGTTCTTGGTGGGCATGGAGTTGGGTGGTTGGAGCCATCAGGCCAACATCTGCATAAGCAGGGACAAGCACCAGGGATCACACAGTCTTTCTTTCTTTCTTTCTTTCTTTCTTTCTTTCTTTCTTTCTTTCTTTCTTTCTTTCTTTCTTTCTTCCTTCCTTCCTTCCTTCCTTCCTTCCTTCCTTCCTTCCTTCCTTCCTTCCTCTTCTCTGTAAACCCCACTCTCTTCTAGCACTGATGTCATTCCCTAATTGGGTAATGAAACACCTGCAAGAAAACCCACCAAGCTAAGAGAGCACCAAGGACCCCACAGGTCAACCAGAGTATCAAAAATTCCCTTCTATTGAGTCAATCATAGCCTGTTGTGAGAACCATAATATTACATTAAGCCATCCTATGCTTAATTTTAGGAGACAGCAGATCTTTTTCAATGAAGAGTTCAGTCTGGAACGCCTTCCCTACTCACCAACACAGGTGGAGTGGCATTGCTCTCTGGTCTCAAAATTGTTGGCATTTCCGTGGCATCCACCGTAGAAAAACCGTTGGCATTTTTTTGAAGTCGAGTTGTAGTAGAAGCGAGGTATTTTGGCTCTACATGGCCCAGGATCAACACGAAGATAACAAAAGCCTGTGAAATATGGAGGGGGGGGATGTTATTTGATTAGCTAGCTCAAAAGTCCTTACATCCATTCCCCAACCTGGCACCCTCCTAACATGCTCAGACTGAAGCAGTTGAGAGCCATCTGGGATGTTTTAATTTGATTATTGGGTTGCCTACTCAGAACGTCAATGGAGATTCTCAATCATCCAGATCATGGTTGTTCTGAAGGTGCTTTGCAACTGGACTTTCTTTCTTTATTTCTTGAAAATATTTCACTTCTCATCCAAGAACTGAAGAAGTGAAGACGCTCCTTCGATGAGAAGTGAAACATCTTTAAGAAAAACAAATTCCAGATGCCTCTTGAAAAGCACCTTTGTAACAGCCAATTACCATCTTAAGAACCTCCCCAGAAGAAGCCCCACCAAGCCAGAGGTTCTAGACCGGGGTCTTTGGGGGGGAACTCTGGTCACTTCAGCCCCTCCCTGCAAAGGGTCTCAAGATCTTTCTAAAAGCTCTACCTGGCCGGTTCTGGCTGGAGACAGGGGTCAGCTCTGCCCAGAGGCTGAGGAGTCCCAGCAGGAGAAGAAGACCTCCAGAAGACATGATGAAACCATCTGCCCCACCCTTGGGCTTCTGGCTCTATTTATTCTCCCATCTGGAAATTTCACATCCAGGAAGCAGTTGTAATGCAGAGACAATTTGAATTTGTTTCTCTTTCATAAGTTGATTGAACAAGAGGTGACAACATTCAGAGTTGCATTGAGTGGCCAGTTTGGGGAAAGCTAAACAGGTCCCTGTTGCTCTGTTCCAGTCCCTCCCTCACACACGAGGCCCTCCAAGACAGAAGTCTTATTCTCCAGGTTCCCACTCCCACCAAATGTGAAGTTCTCTTCAGTCTGGTACTCTTCGGTCTAGGTCCAGGGTCGCAAAGTCCAAGAATGAAGGCAAAAGTCCACAAATCCACACACACAAAGTCTGAAATCCAGGCACACTCCAAAGTCCATGCAGCATAACCAAATCAAGCTATGAGTTTTCCTCCTCCTCCTCCTCCTCTTTCTCCTCCCCCTCCTCCTCCCAAGGTTCCGACCGATGCCCTAATAAAAGCAAGCCCCTTAGCAAGAAAAATCCAGTTGTTTATTAGGAACGCCATATCGGCACGGACCAAGCAAAGCCAACTCTGACTTCACCCAGTTCGCGCCTTGCCTCTGACCCTGTTGCCCCCTCCCCCCACGGTGTGTCACCAGTCACATTCCCCAATGACCGTTCCCCAATGAAGCAATTTTGTGGGTCGTAGAAGTCACTCCCTTCTGCCATTGTGGGTCTCTGTGGAGATGGCCTTGCCTTCGGGTGGCTAGGATGTGTTTTGTTTTGACTGTGAATTCCTCGGTGCAGCTGGGAGGTACGATTTCCCATCCCCCTGCCTATGGCAACTCGGGAGCAGGTCAGGAAAGCTTTGCGAGTTGACAACCTCCTCCCTTCTAGCACTGATGTTGTTCCCCAGATGGGTAATGAAACATCTGCAAGAAAAAAACCAAGCTCAGAGAACAAGAAAATGGAATGGCAGAAAAAATGATTAGATATACAAGGACGTGTAGAATGTGTATGTTTTATGCATGTGTTATTATAGTTGTCCACAAAATATCTCCTTTGCAAGCCTTCTGTTCATAATTAACCAATAACTTCCACAATGGGAAGGAATTAATTTCTCAGCAGATCGAAAAGCATCCGTTTCCACCCTCCACCCATCAATTTCCACAGCAGAGATGAAAAGAAGCCCCTCTTCCAGAGTCCACTGAATGCCCTTCAGGCTGCAGGAGACCGAAGGACCCTCGGGACCATGTGAGGGGCACACGACTCTCTCAGGACGGCCCTTCCGATCCCTTTTGCCGTGGTACACTGTGTGATGCCAACATGCAAACAGGCTTCATAACCCAGGACACTGTTGTGTAAGCCAGGATCCAGGAAAGACAAGCAGCCCCAGGGCTCACCAGTGCAAACACAAGAGTCCTCCCTTGGTACAGATTACAGGTGTTACTTCATCTGTTGATCCTTCCTGACATGGGCAAAGCCAACGGTTCATTGCCTTGAGAAAGAGATCTCGACATCCCTCCATTTCCTCTTGTTCCTGCAAGGGATCTTCTCACTTCCTCAAAGCAGGACTTAAAGGTCCATCTGCCTGGCATTCCTGCTGTTTGGGCACCATGAAGGCTGTGCAGCACCCCACTTTTTGTGGGAGCCCCTCAAATACTGGATACTGTTATCATGTCCTTCCTGGTCCTTCCTTTCTGTTAGGAAATGATTATTAGTTAACTTGTTGGGCTGGCAATATATAAACCCTCAATATAGCTTTAAGACTGCTGTAATGCATCATACTATGTCCTGATTGGTTAGCTCTGTAGCAATCTCCTTAAGAGGGAGCTAGAAACATGGTTTGTTTCTCTTTGCTGGTCTTGCTCTTTGATATCTCTGTATGCCACTGTTTGCAAATCCAGAAGAACTGATTATTGTGAATGACTACAATGACTGGTAAGAAGACTTTGTTATTGGATTATCCCTGGACTGTCATTTTGCTATCTCCTGCTTTATATGTGTATGACCTGGACTGTTTATTGGACTGTGCCTTACTATTTCCTGAAAGTAAACACAACTCAGTGTATCTGTGTGTTGGCTGTGTTTATTCGTAACTATTCTCAATCACTTTCATGTGCACACCCTTGCTGCTCAAGGGTTACTCTGCGAATTCCTTAACACTTTTTCTAGACTAGCCAGACCCAAATCCTTCTTTGTATATTTTTGTCTCCAGGCCTTTAATCCTCTTAGTTGCTCTTCTCTATATTTTTTCCAATGTCTCAACATCTTTTTGTAATGTGGTGACCAAAACTGGATACAGGATTCCAGGTGTGGCCTTACTAAGGGCCCATATATTACATATAAAGAGGTACTAATACTTCACCTGATTTTGATTCTGTTTATGCAATCAAGGATAAGCGATCATCCACTAGGACTCCTAGGTCCCCATCCCCCTCCCTGTTTTTGAGACCCTGGAGATCTGTCTATGGAGATTCTCAGTCATCCAGGTCATGGTTGTCCCACAGGGGCTTTTTCAAGAGGCAACTGGACTTTCTGGTTGTTGTTTTTTTTTTTTAAAGACGTTTCGCTTCTCATCCAGAGCTGAAGAAGCTTCTTGGATGAGAAGCGAAACATCTTCAAAGAAAAACCAGAAAGTCCAGTTGCCTCTTGAAAAAGCACCTTTGGGATGACCCTGGAGATCGTTTCGGTAAGATCAAATGGTTCCCTCTTGACCGCAGGGCCAACCCAGTCTCCATCCCCAAAATCTGAACTGCAACTGAGCAGCACTGCCACACCAATTGCAAGAGAGTGCAGAGAAGAGCAACAAAGATGATTAGGAACCTGGAGACTAAAAGATATGAAGAACAATTGCAGAAACTGGATACGTCTAGTCTTATGAAGAGAAGGACTAGGGGAGACATGATAACAGCCTTCCAATATCTCAGGGGCTGCCACAAAGAAGAGGGGGTCCACTCAGGGGTGAAATGGTCCCGGTTCGGACCGGATCACCCAATCCGGTAGCGATGGAGGCGGGTGGTTCGGAGAACCGGTAGCAAACATCCCTGCCCCACCCCCATGCCCAGCTGAGCTGCACAATCATCAGAGGCTTTTTTTTTACTTTTAAAAGCATTTTTTCTACAACCTCTTCGGCCGAAAAAATGCTTTTAAAAGTAAAAAAGAAAGCCTCTGATGATTGTGCAGCTTAGCTGGGATCGTCAAAGGCTTTTAAAAGCATTTTTTCTACAACCTCTTCAGAGGTTGTAGAAAAAATGCTTTCAAAAGGCTCTGACATCCAAGCTGAGTTGCCTGATCTGCAGAGGCTTTTTTTCTTTTAAATGCCTCTGATGATCAGGCAACCCAGCTTGGATCATCAGAGGCATTTAAAAGAAAAAAAAGCCTCTGCAGATCAGGCAACTCAGCTGGGATCGTCAGAGCTTTTTGAAAGCATTTTTTACAACCTCTTCGCCAAAAAAAAAAAAAAATTGGCCATGCCCACCTAATCACATTACACCCCCCCAAGCTACGCCCACAGAACCGGTAGCAACAAATTTTAGATTTCACCACTGGGTCCACCTGTTCCCCAAAGCTCCTGAAGGAGCTCCTGAAGAAGACAAGAAGCAACGGGTGGAAACTAATCAAGGAGAGAAGCAACTTAGAACTATGGAGAAATTTCCTGATAGTTAGAACAATTAATCAGTGGAATACCTTGCCTCCAGAAATTGTGAGTGATCCAACACTGGAAGTTTTTAAGATGTTGGATAACCATTTGTCTGAAATAGTATAAGGTTTCCTGCCTAAACAAGGAGTTGGACTAGAAGCCCTGGTTCCTTCCAACTCTGTTATTTTCTATTTTATTCTATCTTGCAAAATCCAAGCAATTGTTATTTGGATGCTGTTTTTAATGTTCAGTATCGATGAGGCTTATTGCAATGCAATAACTTCTTAGACTTCTCCTGCATTCTCAGACCTTGCCTAATCCAAATCCACCTCTCACTGCAGTTGAAGCTCTTTCTGCCTTGTGAAATTTAGGAGTTTCCATTAGTTCTTCTGACTGACAGCAGAGTAGAAGATGGGGGGCAGGGGGCGAGTAGATCAGCACAAGCTTTCAAGAAAGAAGGAGTTACTCTGTCTGGGCCTGCTGCTTTTCTGATCTATTGTGTATGAAATAAATATTGCACATCTTTTTCTAGGAACACCAGAGGTGGATTGGGGGGCAGAGGGATGGAGATAGGTCCAGGGCATTTGGCTACTGTTGTTGTATGTGAAGTGGGGAAAGGAGCAGTAAAGGACAGTGGTCTCCTCTCCAACCTAGATCAGAACTCATTCTGGCCTTCTGACTATGGACGTTTCTGCCAGATGACACAGAGCCTTCTGGACGTGGCTTATGAGAACAGGCTGAAGATCCTGGAGTGGCCATTCTGGAGAGAAGGCAGTGAAGCTAGGACCTTTGAGGAACACTGGAGTACATCAGAAGATGCCCAAGGGGAGATGGTCAGCAGCTCTTTTCCTGCAGAGGCTTTGGGTTCTCCCAGGAATTGAAGTTACTGGTGACTTATGAACCGGTGGCAGGGAGATTTTGCATGGGCAAGTATTGTATCAGTGGTGGGTTGCCCCTGCTTCGGACCGGTTCACAAGAACTGGTAGTAAAACCGGTGGAAGGCTCTGCCCACTGACCCGGAGGGAAGCTTCTGCACATGCGGTCCCATTGCAAACTGGTAGTAAAGGTAAGTAGAACCGACCCCCGTATTGTGTGTAAAACAGACACGTACCTACATGCATAAAAACCCCTCGTGTATCTAATGTGTTTCCTGCTGTTTTCTTTTCCTGTTTTTCTTCTTTTCTCTTCTGCTTCATTAGATAAAGGCAGAAAACTTTCTCTGATTTGCCTCATTGTCTCCAGCCAGACCATCCATGTGGAGCCATCGCAGAGTAGCAGAGCCTCCTGTCCCCACCCCCTGGATTTACTCTGGAGTAAACCCTTCATAGGGACTGAGTGTCAGGGATTTCAGCCTCCGAGAGGTGCTTCCCCTGTGCATTCTCTCTGGGAAGCCACATCAGCCCCTCTTCCTCTGACAAGTGGGGTGGGGGACACAGGTCAACGCAGGGAGGGGAAACCCCCAAAGAGGCCAAAGAAGACACCTGAGACCAAGAGGGCAGCTGGAACCAAACTTTTATTGCAGAGAAGAAGGAATGAGCCCAGGGTGGGTTTTGGGGGGAGGGTCTCCAGGGTGGTCCAGGACAGAAGAAGGCTCTTTGGGTCAAGTTCGTACAGTAGTTCCAATTCTGGTGGGTCTCCTTGTTGGTGATGCTGTAAAAACAAACATTCAGATATGAGGTTTTTCCCAGAACGGCCTCCAGTGCTTCTCCCTGCCTCATCTTACAACTGGGGAGACCCAAATCTGAAATCAGGAGGCATGGGCTGATTGGGAGAGAAGGGAAGGAACGGGGCGGCAGCCTCTCCCCTGGAGTTATGGGGCTCCATCACTGAGGGTTTCAAGCAAAGGTGGGACAGAATCTTTCCCAGATGCACTTGAAAGTGGGTGGATTAGATGACCTCCAGTGTTTTTTTCCAATCCTCTCCTCCTAGGAGACCTCAAGGCCACCTCTTGGAACACAGACAAAGGCATGTTCACAGGAGCTTCTAACTTGCCCAGAGGACGAGTGGACCAAAGTGGGCAAGGAGTTCTGTCCTGGTTGCTGCTTCTCCTGGAACTCTTCGTTGTCTGGGGCCTTCTGGCTTCCTGACCAGGATGGCAGGAGGACCATTTTTTTCAACACAGTGCCCAGCAGAAGCTAAATGGTTGGGGAGGGGCATTCTACCAATGGAGGTTCAAGAGAAGAAGAGGTCAATAGATAGTGGGAGGGGCATGTGGTGAGTCAGTCTCATGGCTTCCACTGATGTGTGTGGATATTTATCAGGAAGAAGACCCCACCCCACCAAGGTTTGCTTTGGCATCATGGCACCTTCCTCTTTCTTACATCAGCTCCACCTTTGATGGACACGAGGAGAGCCGGAAAGACCCCAGAGAGACCTGCCTGTGCCCAGACCACATCTAGGCCTAGGAGACCCCACACAGCCGTTCCTTTGGTCTAAGGAAGTACACAAGGGACAACGTATGGGACCTACCATGCGTCTCATAGAGAATATCCTTGCACTCAGTCAGGCAACCATAACGGCAACACTTCTGCATCCCAGGACAATTCCAGTCATTTTGACACTTCGCAAGACAAGGATGTTTTTGAGGGCCCTGGGGACACACTCCAGGTTTTTCTGCAAAAAAAGAAGATCCCAAGGCTGAAAGAATCCTCTGGAATTGGAATCCCAGGTCAAGGAAGATCCCATCTCTGGGCCTTTCAGGACTCAAAACATCTCCATACATCTAGGATGATAGGTTGCCAGCTGGAGCTGCATTCCCATCTCTTCACCTCTTTTCCCACAAAGCACAGCCATTTTCCTCTGGGGTCAACCTCTCAGGGGCCCGGGGGAAGGGACACAATAACTGGCTTGGTCCCTGGGGGTGTGGACATGTGTACCACTACCACTCCCCATCGGCTTCCACCAATGGACTTGACTGTTTTTTGAGGAAGAAGAAGACGTTTCTCTTCTCATCCAAGAAGATTCATAACTGATGCAATTTCTTGGCTGGGAAGCAAAAATTTTTTTTTCTTCCTCAAAAACCAATCACGTTGCCTTTTTTAAAAAAACTGCCCCCTCCCCCCTTCTTGGTTGGGATCCTGTGGGTGGACATGCACAGCCCCGGTTTCCACCAAAGAGGAAGGAGGAATTTCAGGGAATGGGAGGCACAGACTTTCTGTGCTGGTTCTACAACCCCCCACAGCCCCCTCCTCAAATACAGAAGGCGGGTAAGATAGGACCCTCCCGCAAACAGAGGCTGGACAACCAGAGAGGTCTTCTTTCCTTGGACCTCCTGGAAGTTGCCTGAAGTTCTTAGGCTAAATGGGGAGCTTGAAGATCTGAGTGGCTCGCTCAGCACAGGCACCTGCGCTCCCTCAGAATTGGGTCCTTGGTGGTTCATGGAGTGGGCAGGATAGAGCCATCATGCCAACATCCACATAACCACATTCTGCAACCCAACAAGACAGACACAGACTTCAGAGGATCATTAGAACTGCAGAAAGAACCATGGCTACCAACCTGCCTCCCATGGAGGACCTGTATACTGCACGAGTCAAAAAGAGGGCTGTGAAAATATTTACAGACCCCTCGTGTCCTGGACATAGACTGTTTCAACTCCTACCCTCAAAATGACGCTATAAAGCACTGCACACCAGAACAACTAGGCACAAGGACAGTTTTTCCCCGAACGCCATCACTCTGCTAAACAAATAATTCCCTCAACACTGTCAAACTATTCACTAAGTCTGCATTACTATTAATCTTCTCATCGTTCCCACCACCCATCTCCTCCCACTTATGACTATGACTGTAACCTTGTTGCTCGTATCCTTAAGATTTACTTACTTATTTGTTCCCTATGACTATCATTAAGTGTTGTATCTTATGATTCTTGACAAATGTATCTTTTCTTTTATGTACACTGAGAGCGTATCAGTGGTGGGTTGCTCCCGGTTCACCCCGGTTTGGGCGAATCGGTAGTGGCAGCGGCAGGAGGCTCCACCCACCCACCCAGACATCATCAAAAACTCTCTGTGCATGCCCAGAAGCACCGCACGCTCCCAAAGCATGCGCACGTGCCCGCACTCTACCAATAGCAAACTGGTAGCGCCGGGATTTGAATCCCCCTACTGGAGCATACGCAACATCCTTGTGTGTCCAATCATACTTGGCCAATAAAGAATTCTAATTCTAATTCTGATTCTAATTCTGATTCTAATTCTAATTCTATAAGCAGGGACAAACAACTGAGAAAAAAATAACACCCCATCAAGAAAATATCATGAAAAAAACCCACCCCCACCAAGGCTTATTATGCAAGTGGAAGTATCTAAACATAGAGCAAACCCCACTCTCTTCTAGCTTTGATGAAATTCCCTAGTTCAGTAATGAAAAGTCTGTTCCAAGCCCTGAGAGCATTAGTCATTCTCTTTCCAGGGACTGCATTCTCCTTCTCTTCTTCTTCCTCCTCCTCCTCCTCCTCCTCTCTGCAAACCCCACTCCCTTCTAGTATTGATGATGTTTCCTAGTTCAAAAACCACCCTGCTCAGAGAGCACCAGAAATTCCACAGTTCAACCCGATTGACAAAGATTCCCTTCTCTTGAATCAATCATAGCCTGTTGTGAGAACCATGATGCTTCATTAACCCATCTTATGCTTAATTGTAAAAGACGGCAGATCTTTTTCAATGAAGGGTTCAGTCCAGAACTCCTTCCCTACTTACCAACACAGGTGAAGTGGCATTCATCTTTGGTCTTAAAATTGTTGGCATTTCCCTGGCATCCACCATAAATAAACTGTTGGCATTTGTTTGAAGCCGAGTTGTAGTAGAAGCGAGGGATATACACTTGACATGGTCCGGCCTCATGAGGAAGATGACAAAGCTCTGTGACAAATGGAAAGGGGAGGGAGGGGGATGTTATTTGATTAACTAGCACAAAAATCTTTAAGGCTCTTCCCCAACTTGGTGCCCTCTTAGCATGCTCAGATTGCAAGCAGTCGAGCGCTGTGAGAAATAAAGAAATTAGGATTATTCCTGCAAAAATGTATAACCTAAGTTACGCCATTTTAATATCATGTCAAGGCTTTATTTTACTCTGTATAACCTGATTATATAATTTAGCTGACAGTTTAAGGAACATGGGAAAGGAATTGTGTGGTTCCTGTGTTCTTGAGAAAGTGTTTATCTAGGAGGAAGTATTCTTTAGGTCGACTTGACCTCGTTAAGAAGGGGAAGTACGCATATGCTGATATTACACGTATAAGCAATATTTTTAAGTAGGGTATTTTTATATATTGGAGTTATGGGGACTTTCCATAATGGGGATATCATGTGTTTATGTGCTTATCTGTTATATAAAGTCTGAAATTGTACTCAAGGGACATGCTTGTATCCTGTAAGGTGTAACCTGAAATTGTATAAAAGACGGCGAGAACGAATGGTAAATTGCTCCCTCACTTTGAGGGGGACCTTTGCAAAGAAATAATTAATAAATTGTATTCTTGTCTTATCTCTCAACTCTCTGTCGATTATTTTTCTGGGTGACAGGCATTTCCTGTATATCACAAGCGCCATCTGGGATATTTTAATTTGGTTTCTGCTCTGGAGGTTGGATCAGATGGCTGACTGGATTGTTCCTGTTGCTTAAAATCCTGATTCTGCTTGTTGGAAATGAACTCAACCAAGAAGCATGGGTCAATGAAAACAAAGAGACTTTATTAAAAGAAAATAATAAAAACAATTTTGCAAAATAGGGTGGTATCCCAGCAGATCTCAACAAGGAGTTTGAGCCAGGAAGCCACACCTGAAGTTTCAAAAGCATTACATTTTATAGTTCCCTATCCCGATGCCCCCCCATGCCCCTCCTACATCGCATCTAGTGACTGATCAAAGCTAATCCGAAGCACCTTTTAGAGAGAACATCATCTCTTTCTCTAATTACATGTTCATCAACACCTCCCTATAACTACCCATAAAATATTTTGCAAGCATGGCTGTTTCTTATCTCTATTGCCTTGGCATTAAAGAGTGGGCCTCTTTCTAACGGGCCTCAAACAAAAGAAGATCTATTCTAACCCAACATTGTTACATATTGGTATGCTTTCAGCATGTCTTTTCTCCAACTATCTTAAAGCAGAATAATGTCTAACAAATTTAACAGAGTAGCAGAGCTGGAAGGGATCCTGCAGGTCATCCAGTCCAACCCCCTGCCTGAGCAAAATTGAATTTTCACTTATATGCATTTCTAACCTATATACCTACATACTATTTTATTTTTGAATTTTCTCATGTCCTACATGCTGCTGCATTGAGTAAAGATAAGTCAGCCTTTCTCCTAAAATTGCATCTCTCTTTCTTGAGGCCCCCCTCCGTTTCTGTCTGCTACTCAGCTGACACCCAACCACCTTCTCCAGAACCTTCCCAGAAGAAGCCCCACCAAGCCAGAGCTTCTAGACTGGGGTCTTTGGTTTCCCTTTCCCTGGGTGAGAACTCTGACCACTTAAGCCCCTCCCTGCAAAAGGTGTCAAGATCTTTCTGAAAACTCACTTGGACGGTCCTGGCTGGAGACGGGGGTCAGCTCTGCCCAGAGGGTGAGGAGTCCCAGCAGGAGAAGAAGACCTCCAGAAGACATAATGAATCCGTCTGCCCCACACTCTGGTTGCTGGCTCTATTTATTCTCCCAGCTGGGAATTTCACACCTCCAGATCCAGGAAGCAGGATGACTTAATGCAGTGAGAATCCGAATTCTTTCCTCTTTCACAAGATGGGCAAACAAGAAGTGTGGAATCTGAGAGTTGGATTGGCTGGCCAGTTTGGGGGAGTCTGTGCAGGTCCCTCTTGTCCCTAAGAGTGGAATGGAATGGAATGGAATGGAATGGAACGGAACGGAACGGAACGGAACGGAACGGAACGGAACAGAGCAGAACAGAACAGAACAGAACAGAACAAAACAGAAAAGAACAGAAAAGAAAAGAATAGAAAAGAATAGAAAAGAAAAGAAAATCTGGAATGGAATGGAATGGAATGGAATGGAATGGAATAGAATAGAATAGAATAGAATAGAATAGAATAGAATAGAATAGAATAGAATAGAATAGAATAGAATAGAATAGAATAGAATAGAATCTGGAAGAGACCTTGGAGGTCTTCTAGTCCAGCCCCCTGCTCAAATAAAAGACCCCATACCATTTCAGACAAATAGCTGTCCAGTCTTGTCTTATAAACCTCCAGTGATGGAGCACCCATAACTTCTGAAGACAAGCTGTTCCACTGGTGAATTCTTCTCATTGTTAGAAAGTTTTTCCTCAATTCCAGGTTGCTTTAGAAAATAAATTGACCCCCCCTCTCCTCTTTGTGGCATCCTGTTAAATACTGGAATACTGCTATCATGTCACCCCTAGTCCTTCTTTTCTCTAGACTGGCCAAACTCAAATCCTGCAACCCTTCTGCATATGTTTTAGCCTCAAGGCCTTTGATCATCTTAGTTGCTCTTCTCTGCACTTTTCCCAAAGTCTCAACATCTTTTCTGTAATGTGGTGACCAAAACTGGATGCAGGATTCCAGGTGTGGAACTAATACTTCACCTGGTTTTGATTCTATGCCTCTGTTTATACAACCAAGGATTGTATTAGCCTTTTGGGCTGCTGTTTAAGCGATTGTCACTTAGACTGCAAGGTTCCTCACAGTTCCTCATTTTAAACTGGGTTTTTCTTAATCTGTACTTGTACCTTTGGTGTTTCCTGTCTTTCCTATGAAATAGGATCCATTACAAGTGACCCTGCAGATCATTTCTGTAAGACCGAATTGTTGCCTCTCTGCAATCCGACTGGGTCAACCTGGCCTCCATCCCAACATCTGAACTGCAATGGAGCAGCTGTGCCACACCAGTTGCAATCTTGCAAAATCCAAAAAATTGTTATTTGGATGCTGTTTTTAATGTTTGGTATCGATGAGGCTTATTGCTATGCAACAACTTCTTAGACTTCTCCTACATTCTCAGATCTTGCCTAATCCAAATCCACCTTTCACTGCAGTTGAAGCTCTTTCTGCCTTGTGAAATTTAGAAGTTTCCGTTGGTTCTTCTGACTGCCAGTTGGCAATGCCAATCAGCCCAGAGAGCCCCTCCCTCACCACCCATCAGTTAACCAACCCTGGTTAAGGAGGAACAAGGACAGATAAATGAAGGAGGAACAAGCAATAACACAAGCAGGTAGGAGAAGCTGCTGTGTGCCAACCTTCCTATTCATGGACCAATCTGACTGCACTGATGACATTAGGAAGAATGGCAGTGAAACGTGAGCAATATGCAAACCAGGTTCTCAGAGCCCCAAGGATCCACCAGGAATTATGAAGGGTGGGGCCACAAGGGTTTCTCCTGGGTCCTCTGCTATTCGATGAAGCTCTGAATCCTTGGATGAAGAGGGGAGGAAATGCAAATGGATTGCATGGGATAGGTGGTGATGTTGTCTATCCCACTTTTTTTCTAGCTTACCAAGAAGTAGGTTATGGTCTACTTTGTTGAATGCCTTGCTGAAGTCTATGTATTCTATGTCCCCAGCACTTTGCTGCTCTATTAACTTAGTCACTTTGTCAAAGAATGAAATAAGATTGGTTTGGCTTGATCTGTTTTTAACAAACCTGTGCTGGCTTCTAGTTGTAACCTTATTTATTTCTAGATGTTCACAGATCTGGTTTTTTTATTATTTTTTTCCACTATCTCCCCAAGTATTGATGTTGGGTTGATTGGTCTGTAATTTCCTGGGTCTGTTTTTTCTTTTTCTTTTTTATCCTCTGATAATTCCCCGATGCTCCAGGATTTTTGAAAGATATGGTACAATAGTTCTGAGATGACATCTGTCAGCTCCTTTCAGCCATTGTGGGAATCAAAGTGTCCTTCCATTTTTGTTCATAAAGTGGTCTTGCCACTGTCCACATATATAAGAAGTTCCAAAAAATTTTTACAAATCTTTTTCCATTAAACCCATAACAAATGTTTCTGGTTTTATCTTTATATTCACTTTGAGAATCTTCTGTGTTAGAATGTGAATCCTATTCCAATATTTCTTTGTTTTGTCACATGTCCACCATAAGTGATAGGTGATAAAAGGCCCCCTTCTTTACATTTGAATTTCCCACATTCATTCAAAATACCTTTATACATTCTGGACAACTTATCTAGTGTTAAACACCAATGATACATCATCTTATAGAAATTTTCTTTTAAATTATAATGTAGTGTAAAATTTAAACCTTTCATCCACATATTCTCCTATTCAAGCATTACATTATATCTGAAGTTTCTTGCCCACTGAATCATGCAGTGCTTTACATATTCATTTTCCAAATTTAAATTCAATAACAATTTATAGATATTCACAATAATATGTTCATCACTATCACACAGTAGGATTTTCAATTCATTTTTCACAAAGTCAAACCCGTAACTCTTTTGTCTGATTTAAATCTTTCTTTTGATTGTAAATATGTAAACCAATGGCAGACTTTGTCTTTTGCAGTAGTTTTTTTTCGTATGTTGGGCTATATTTTGCATGAAGACCGATGCAAAGAATGAGTTGAGCAGCTCTGCTTTCTCTCTGTTGCCTGTTACTTCTTTGCCATCTTCTCTCTTTAGTGGATCGAAAGTTTCCTTGACTTTTTTCTTTCTATTTATATGTTGAAATATAAAATTTACATATATAAAAATATCTGTTTTTAAACTTATCTTTGACTTTGGTTGCAAGTCTTTGTTCATTCTGAGCCTTTGCTTTCCTGACTTCATCTTTGCAGATTCGGGGTATCTGCTGATATTCTGCCTTAGTTATGTGACCCTCTTCCCATTTTTGGTACTTGTCCTTTTTGTCTTTCTTTTTTTAAAAAAAATTGATTTATATGCCGCCCTTCTCCGGAGACTCAGGGTGGCTTACAATGCGTTAAGCAATAGCCTTCATACTTTTGTATATTTTTACAAAGTCAGCTTATTGCCCCCACAAACTGGGTCCTCAATTTACCTACCTTAGAAAGGATGGAAGGCTGAGTCAGCCTTGAGCCTGGCAAGATTCGAACTTACTAATTGCAGACAGCTGGAGTTAAATTACAATGCACTGGTCTGCTGAGCTATCCAGGCTCCTCTTTCAGTTTCTCAGAGAGATTTTTGAGAAGAAGATTCTCCAAAACACCAGAGGGCAGGACAAGAAGAAGTAACAGTTGGAAACTAATCAAAGAGAGAAACGGCCTGGAACTAAGGAGAAATTTCCTGACAGTAAGAACAATTAACCAGTGGAACGACTTGCCACCAGAAGTTCCTGGTGCTGCATCACTGAAGGCTTTTAAGAAGAGACTGGGCCTGAGGCTAAAAACGTTAAAAAGGCCCATTGCATTCTGCCAGTTGGACGGATCAATTGCAGGAAGGGGCCCAGCCAGCTTTGTGACCGAACCCATTGAAATGCAACTGGGGGATCACGTAGAGACCCTCAGGTTTATTGTGGCCCCTAGCATGGAACGACCCCTCATACTTGGACTGCCCTGGCTCCGTAGATGGAACCCATGGGTTAACTGGAAAACTGGGGTTTTGCGGATTCGCACTGGAAAACCGAGACTAGAGAGGGAAGAAAACCCCTTGGAGGACAGAGTAGAACATGAAAGGGCGGAAGTGGCAGTAGGCCACATCGAAGGGGAGGAAAAGATTCCAAAGGAGTATTGGGATCTCCAAGAAGTTTTGAGTGAAAAGGCCTTGGATGTGCTACCCCTCCACAGAGCTACGGACTGTACCATTGAAATACTCCCCAGGGTGAAACTCCCTAAGCCAAAGATCTACCCCATGACCCCTCAAGAACTAGGGGAATTGTGAAACTTCATTGATAAAAACCTAGAACGGGGCTTTATCCAACCAGCCAGACTAAGGGTGGCAGCACCTGTAATGTTCCGAGAAAAGAAAGATGGCTCCTTTCGTTTGGTAGTTGATTATAGAAATATCAATGCTATTTGCATGGAAAACGTTTACCCCCTGCCGCTCATGAAGGACATGCTAGCACATCTAGGAAAGGGGAAAATTTCCACCAAACTGGACTTATGAGAGGCATACTACAGAGTGAGAATTAAGGAGGGGGATGAATGGAAAACTGCATTTAACTGCCCACTGGGATGTTTCCAGTTTCGAGTGCTCCCTTTTGGACTACAGGGAGCCCCTGCTGTGTTCATGCAATTGATTAACAAAGTACTGCATGAGCACCTGTATAAGGGGGTGCTGGTTTACTTGGATGACATCCTTATCTACTCTGAGAGCATGGACGACCATGTGAAATTGGTGCAAACTGTCCTGAAAAAACTCAGGGCTGCTGAACTCTATGCCAAGCTCTCTAAATGCGAGTTCCACCAAAGCAAAATTGACTATCTTGGATATCGCATATCACATGAGGGAATAGAGATGGACCCTGGAAAAGTTCGGGCAGTATTAGAATGGGCCGCGCCATGCACCCACAAACAACTACAAAGTTTCCTCGGATTTGCTAACTTCTATAGACAGTTTATCCCCTCGTTCACCAAGATCACGCTGCCAATAACGAGTCTTCTGAAAACAAAAGGTGAAGTAAGACCAAAGCCCTCACCAGCCCTTGAATGGACTATGGACTGTCAGGCAGCATTCA